ATTGCATATGAAAGCTTCACTCACCCACCCTTTTCTGAGACACTCTGGCTTAGGTTTTGAGTTTTTGTTACAACAGTCTGTCTTAAAATGTCTCCTTACTAACGTCTGGACTTCCCCCCCTGTTTTTTTTTTGTTTTGTTTTGTTTTTCCTTTGACAGTAGTGTGAAGGAAGCACTCTTCAGTGTAGGGCTGTCTTCTTCCACAAATTCATCATAGGTACGTGAGGGCATTCTACAAGGAACTTCAGGCTGCCACTCATAAATATTACAGAAGTTTTATTAGTATCATCTTGTAGCAAGTTTTCAGAAATTAAAGCTTCACTGGGTTTTTCTTTCTATTCTTAAAAATTGTTTATGCCTAAGGTGCTTTTCACAAAATGCTGGCTGCTTATCCTGCATCAGGACTTTTTGTAGGAATTTTGAGAGAAAATCTTATAAAATTTCTTACATTTTTCTGTTCCATTTAAAAGTTGTGATAGTTTGTTATATTGAGGCTCACTAGACAGATATATTTTCAGGTATATAATTTAAAAATCATTTTCTTAATTGCATATAGTGTTTTATGATTTACAAAGAAATTTGCTCTGCACTATAACTCAGTTGAGTTTCAATGATCTGGTGAGGGTTACTTTGCCGCAGGAAAAACTGGGACTATAATTCAGTTCCAGGTTTTCAACTTCAGAGCTTTAAACATTTCATTATAATCCCGCTTTAACTAAAACTTAGATAACTTAGCACATGATAAATGATGCAGGCAAAACTTTCAGAACAAAGTTCACTAAAAACTTGGATCCCCCTTTCTATTCAAAAGAAAAATATTTCCTTAGGTCTTCTAATTCTTCCAGATTCTATTTTCTCTAAACTTTACAAGCTTTTATAAAACTTCATATTATAGACATTTTAAAACGTGCTTAAAAGTAGAGAGAATAAGGGCCGGCCCGTGGCTCACTCCGGAGAGTGCGGTGCTGATAACACCAAGGCCCCGGGTTCGGATCCTATATAGGGATGGCCGGTTCGCTCACTGGCTGAGCGTGGTGCTGACAACACCAAGTCAAGGGTTAAGATCCCCTTACTGGTCATCTTTAAAAAAAAAAAAAAAAGTAGAGAGAATAATACTTCATGTACTCATTATTAGCTTCAACAGTTATAATCCTCACCTCCCCCGTTGTGTGTGTGTGTGTGTGTGTGTGTGTGTGTATTTGGTAGAGAAGGGGCTAATTTGGAAAAATTCCATGACATTAGAGTGCTTATTAATTTTAAGTTTGCCTACTGGAGGTGGCTTTGAGTTTTTTATTTCTGTGCCCACCAGGACCAATCTTTCTGAGCTCCCAGGAATCTCCCTGAATCATGAAATAAAATACTGAACTAGCCAGGAGGGTCAGTTCCTCGCCCACATAGTTCTTTTTGCCCTGCTTTACTCACTTCTCATCCTGATTGTCTTTCCCTGAATGTGGCCTTGGCCTCCCCTCTTGCCTCTTGTCTTTCTCTGAACAATCACAGTATACATGTAAGTTTCTGGTTTTCAAAATAATTTCTTCATTTAATAAAATGGTACGTTGCCTTCCTATCCTTGACCTTATCTTTAAAAGCTGTATGTATTTGCCATTTTGGATATCTTTTCTACTCCAGAACACATGGCTTTTTTGAACTGTGTGTGCTTAACTTTCTTTATAAGGTTGCCAAATCTCAGTATAGCCTTGAATTTCCCTAAACTGATCTGTATTCCAGGGGAAGGAATATTTGATAGGATTTTAGCATCAAATGACAGAAAATCAATTTGATTTGGCTTTAAGCTCAAAGGGGGATTTATTGGTTGATGTTACTAAATGACCAAGGGTAGTTCTGCAGCAACAGGTGCATCCAGGTATTCAACTAATGTTTCTAGGAATCTTCTTTCCATCATTCAGGTTTGCTTCTCAGTTAACTTTTCCACAGAAACTCAGGTCTTAGTTATCAATTTAGTTGCAGTACTTTGCTAGTAGTTCCAGCTGACGTCCCAGGGCTGTGCTTATTAACCCATCTTGGGTTATACGCCTACCCCTAACTGGCCAGAGGGAAACTGAAATTTTTTTATGTGACTCCTGCTCCCCATCCTCAGCCAGGAGAGTGGAGGTCAAACCACGCGAAAGTGAAAGTGGGGAATTGGGTAGATACCTAAAGGAGAATTGGGTTGCTCTTACCGAGAGAACAGGAAATGAATGCTGGGTAGGCAAAATAACAGCTGTCTACTGGAGAGAAGATCGAATTAATTGGGACTAAATCCTCTCTAGGAGATCCACGGTACATATTATCACCTTAAAGGCTCTGAGTTTAAAGATAAAAACAAATCAGCTCATTTGGCAGGGCATAAGAACATTCCCAGAAACAGTTTTCTCTTAAGCTTTGGTAATAATGTTCATGTGATATATTTGCTCAATTACCTTCTGGTTTGATTCTCCTATTAATCTGTACTTGGAATCTCAAGTATTTGAAACCTTAAAGGACTAGAGATTTTCAGCTCACTTAGATGAGTTTTGTATTTCTTGTAATTGTATCTGAGTTTTTCCACCTTTCACGTCAAATTCTCTCTCATTTATACCATTCCTTATACATATTTACTGACTTGATATCTATTGGGGTTTCCATATGGGGACTGCAGGAAGAAGTGAGCAGATAAAGAAAAATAGCGTGAGAATACCAAACCATTTTTCGGGATTTCCATCTCTTTTTTCTGGTGAAGTTTCACCTGTTTTAGGGCTAGTTATACCCAACCAAATTAAGGAAGAAAGGAAAGTAGCTGGAGCTCATGCTTGGGCAGGTTGGATAGAGAGTGTATCATTAGTGACAACAGTTTTAGAATGAAAAGAGGCCTCTAATTCTTGAAGTCTGGCTCTTAATTCTGACTGTGGAGTTGTTGCCTCCATCTATGATAGGAGCCCTCTTACAATTGGGACTTCACAGTCTGTGGAGAATTAAATAGGAACTCTGCAGGTATATTGGGCAAATGACTGGAGACCAGGAGTCTGAACATAATTTTAGAAAGTCAAATAATTTTTAGAAACAATAATTTTAATAAATTCAGACACAGCAACAGTTTATTGCTGTAGTCTTTATAATAAAAGTAGTTGATAACTTAGGATCTTGGCCTTTGATTTTTGTTTTCATTGTTAGTGTTTTTGGCTCTTAACAGATTATAAATTTAGATTTTAAGCAATTTTATAAAAGTTTTTTCAACTTTAAGTCTCTTGCTCTTTTGGCTGCGGAGCGAGGGCAGAGATAATGTGTAAGAAGAAAAGATTTTATGTTTTCTGTTTTGGTTGCGTAGAAGGGTTAGTATTCAGGTTTTTAAAAACCTGGTTCAAGTTAGAATCCAGCTATTGAAGCACTAGGAACCACTGCTCAGAGAAATGATGGTAGTCACATCAATGTCATAGTTAGTTTATGTGCTGGATTTTTTTTGGTTTAAAATTATTTCTCTCCTTTTATATCTTTATTGCTTCCCATGTTACTTAAGATATAAAATATGAAAAGCTTATTTCAGGTAACCTACCCACCAACAAAGAGGACAGCCTGATACACAATAACCTATAATGGGAACCTGATATATAAAGTATAATGAATGAGTATGATATACAACTTCCCCCAAAAAACTTGACGTTTTGATAGAATTATTTGGAGTTTGTGGGAGAGAATGTATATGTGTGTGTGTGTGTTCACGCACGTACATACATTTAAAACAAGTGCAAACTTTTTTAAAATTAGAAATTATTCCAATTTTGGATTTGGCTTTACTAGAATTAGAATGCCTGTCAGTAATAGGATAGTACCCTTTTGTAAATTGTTACTCTTCTAAAGGACAGAGGATATCATCTATTTTACAGATGAGAAAACTGAAGTGTTTCAAATACTTAGTAATTTAGACTTAAGACTGTTGGACTCTAAAGCCAAGCACTTTTTGCTATATCATGCTGCTTAGTGAATGAACTATTAAGTTTAATATTCATTTTACCATTTACTTCATTCCAAGTAGAAAATTAAGATGTTTATGACTTGGTTGTCTTTTTTGCTTTATCTAGTTTATTTAGAAATCTGTTTGGAGGTTATGGATGATAAACCCAATCCTGGAACCCTAAGTGAGAATTCAGAACGTCTCTTCTCCTTTGGAGTTATAGCAGATATTCAATATGCTGATTTAGAAGACGGCTATAATTTCCAAGGAAACAGGCGGAGATACTACAGACACAGTCTTCTTCACTTACAGGGTGCCATTGAAGACTGGAATAAGGAAAGTAGCACACCCTGTTGTGTCCTTCAGCTTGGAGATCTCATCGATGGATACAATGCACAGTATAAGGCATCAGAAAAGTCCCTGGAAGTTGTTATGAATGCATTCAAAATGCTTGAAGTCCCAGTTCATCACATATGGGGAAATCATGAATTCTATAACTTCAGTAGAGACTATTTAACAAACTCTAAACTTAACACAAAGTTTCTAGAAGACCAGATTGTACATCATCCTGAGACCATGCCTTCAGAGAATTATTATGCTTATCATTTTGTACCATTCCCTAAATTCCGCTTCATTTTACTTGATGCTTATGACTTGAGTGTCTTGGGCATAGATCAGTCTTCTCCAAAATACCAGCAGTGTATGAAGATACTGAGGGAGCACAATCCAAATGTGGAATTAAATAGTCCTCAAGGTGAATTATTCCTTTGAGCTGAGAATCTAATACATTGTCTTTAAATTCTTCAGCTACCTTTTATTCAGCAGGAAGATGGACTATTAAGGTAAAAGTATATTGTCGCTGTTGTTCAGGGTCAAGACTTCTCGTAAGCCTGATGTTACATGGATTGGTTACAGTTGATTCAAGACTCATTTATTTAACAGATATTTGAATGGCTCTTCTGGGCTGGGCACTTCTTCTAGGGCTAGCTGTTTACAGCTGTAAACAATACTGACAATCTCCCTTTTTTATGGATGTAATGGAGAGAACAGAAGAAGTAGGTGGGTGGAGCAGATAATCAATGAAACAGAAACAAGATTATTTCCACTGTGATAAATGCTTCCAAGGAAATAGAGTATGATGTAATAGACTGTTATAGAAAAGGACCAGGAGTAGTATTTCAGATTAGGTGATCAGAAAGAACCTCTCCAAGGAGAGAGATATGTAAGCTGAGACCTAAATTACAGGATGGAGTCATCCTTGGGAAGAACAGGGGTAGGGGGTTAGCAAAGAGAAAAACAAATATGAAGGCTCTGAGTGGAATAAGACTTGGNGAAACAGAAACAAGATTATTTCCACTGTGATAAATGCTTCCAAGGAAATAGAGTATGATGTGATAGAATGTTATAGAAAAGGACCAGGAGTAGTATTTCAGATTAGGTGATCAGAGAGAACCTCTCCAAGGAGAGAGATATGTAAGCTGAGACCTAAATTACAGGATGGAGTCATCCTTGGGAAGAATAGGGGTAGGGGGTTAGCAAAGAGAAAAACAAATATGAAGGCTCTGAGTGGAATAAGACTTGGGCATTACTGAAGAACATAGAAAAGGGCCAGTTGGGGTTCAAGTTGATTTTGGAGAGTAAACAGGCAAGACTGTGGAGTGGCTCAGTGGACATCAGGAGGAGTTTGTATTTTCTGTGTAATGGAAAGCCAGTGAAGTAAGCAGAGGAATGTCAAGACTAGGAGTAAGGTACAGTGTGATTTACTTATATGCTACTCTAAATTCTTGTAATAGACTGTTATAGAAAAGGACCAGGAGTAGTATTTCAGATTAGGTGATCAGAAAGAACCTCTCCAAGGAGAGAGATATGTAAGCTGAGACCTAAATTACAGGATGGAGTCATCCTTGGGAAGAACAGGGGTAGGGGGTTAGCAAAGAGAAAAACAAATATGAAGGCTCTGAGTGGAATAAGACTTGGGCATTACTGAAGAACACAGAAAAGGGCCAGTGGGGTTCAAGTTGATTTTGGAGAGTAAACAGGCAAGACTGTGGAGTGGCTCAGTGGACATCAGGAGGAGTTTGTATTTTCTGTGTAATGGAAAGCCAGTGAAGTAAGCAGAGGAATGTCAAGACTAGGAGTAAGGTACAGTGTGATTTACTTATATGCTACTCTAAATTCTTGTGATTTCCAATTTTAAGTCAATTGCTGTTAATCAAATATTCCCAAAAGTAAAAAACAAGTGTCTCTGCATTAGTTAAATTTGAATGTCCAAGTGAGGGGAAAAAAGACATGTGATAGGTCTAACTTACTTAATTCGTTTCAGGACTTTCTGAGCCTCATTTTGTCCAATTTAATGGAGGATTCAGCCAAGAACAGCTGAACTGGTTAAATGACGTTCTTACCTTCTCTGACACACACCAAGAAAAGGTGGTGATTGTGAGTAAGTACTTAAATTGTTTATCTGATTACAGCAGCATTTTAGAGATTGAGAAAAGTTAGGTTTTAAACCATACTAACAATATTTATGTTTTGATATCCTCTTTCTATAAAATGGATTCCTCATTTAAAATTTTTTGTTGAGAGACAACCTGAATATAAGATTAACATTTAAAGATGAATCAGGAAAGAAATGTAAAATAACAAAAACATCTTGCCATATATTAAATCCTGTGAGTTGGCCCTTTAGGTTTCAAAGTAGAATCTCCCCAAATGGTATCAATTATATAGTAATTTTTAAATGAAAAATTCAGTTCAGGCTCCATACTGAATCTCAGCCTTAGGAGACCTGCATATTAGTGATGTGGCCACCAGACAGAGGCTATTGCTGCCCAGATGAAGCAAAGCTGATGTAATGGGGGATGAGTATTACAGACTCAGCTGGCAGTGAGCACTTTCAGGTCTCTAACTGTGTCTACCACACGGTTACAAGGAAGTCAGATTTTCATTTAGAATCATTTTTGATTGACGCCTGTCATCAGAGATTATAGGAATCTGGAGGTGCTTAAAACACTCACATGTATGTACAGATGTGCGCACACACACACAAGCACACACACAGAACCAAATTTGGATTTTCATTATGGCTGTTAAATTTGTTTTGTTGACTGAGGTTAGCCCTTGTTCTAGAGTTGACGTAGCATAATAGAAGAGAAGACTGGACTGAGAGCCAGAAGAACGAGATGCCATTCTGGCACTTGTTTATAAGAATTGTGTGGTCCTGAACAAATATTGAACCTACAAACTGCAGCTGGACTGAGAGCCAGAAGAACGAGATGCCGTTCTGGCACTTGTTTATAAGAATTGTGTGGTCCTGAACAAATATTGAACCTACAAACTGCAGTTTTCTGTATATTATACCAGATTCAATTATGAGTATGAAAACCTTCAAAAATGATAGGCTATTCAGATAGTTGATAATATTAAATTATACAGTTGTCCTTCAGTATCTGCAGGGGATTGGTTTCAGGACCTCCCGAGGATACCAAAATCCACAGATGCTCACATCCATCATGTAAAATGACATAGTGTTTGCATATAACCTATGCACATCCTCCTGCATACTTTAAATAATCTCTAGATTACTTATAATACCTGATACACTGTTAATGCTATGTAAATGGTTGTTATACTGTATTGTTTAGAGAATAGTGACAAGAAAAAAGTCTGTACATGTTCAGTAGAGACACAATTTTTTTTCCTGAATAGTCTCAATCCACAGTTCATTGAATCCACAGATATGGAATCCACAGATACAGAGGGCCAACGGCATTTCTATTATAAATGTAGTTTTTACTTATTAATCTTCCACTGATGTGGTAAAAACATGTAGATGGAGCAGGAGTGTTTCTGCTACCATTGAAAGTGTCAATCAAAGCTTGAAAAATATAAGGTACCCTCAGGGGTTGTTGGCATGACGTGATACTATTTGGCTGTATCATGAATGGTCACAGAAAGTCGGATACTTCTTGACTTGTGTCTGCTTTTTAGTTTCCACTGCCAGGCTGTACCTGTTACTTTAAAGTGTATTGGAGCTGAAAGGGACCTAGAGACCATAATGCCAAACATTTGATTTTAAAAATATAAAAACTGAAGCCCAAAGAGAATAAGCTACATAGCGAAAATCACACAGTTACTGACAAGATTGAGACTAGAATCTGTTTTTTGTTCTTTTTTTTTTAAAGAATCCATGTTTTATATACAAGTCCCCTTTCCCACTCAATCCTGTATTCTTCCCATTTCTTTTTATTGATGGCAGTGCACCTATCTACTTTAGCTGTCTCTTAAATTTCTTCCACCATTTGCTGTGAGCCTAGAAACTGGATAAGCAAACCTTTAACAACTGAGTGCCTCAGGCTTTCTTTAGTAAAGTTTAAAAGTTAAATAGGTATTTTCTTTTGTTTTTCTTTGCTTTTTAACTTTATTGTGGCTACTCAGAGGTTATTTTGTCTTCTTTCAGAATTTTGGCGATGCATTTAGAATGATAGAATTGCTGTAAGCTGAGATGGGAAACACTGCAGATGAGGGGGCTTAGGTGGAGCCGTCAGGGGTTCAGGTTTGGAAATATTGAGTCTCAGATCCTATTAGATATCAGATGCCTATTAGACATTAATGGAGATGTTGAATAGGCAGTATGAAATTCAGAATAGAGGTTTGAGCTAGATATATAAATGTGGATGATAAAAAGAATATAAATAAAAAAGAATATAGATGATATTTAAAGCAATGTAAATAAGAGATCACCAAAGCATTAGATATGGATAGAGAAGTCCAAGGACCAATCATTCAGGCTTTCCTGATAAGATGCTGGGCAAATGAGGAAAAAACAGCAAAAGAGATTGAAAATTAGTGACCACTGAGGTTGGGGGAAAACTAAGTGTTTCAAGGAAGAAGGGAGCAACTAATTGTGTCAACTGCTGCAGGGACTTCATAGATGAGTCAGTATGGCTTCTAGGTACTGGAAAGTCACACTGCCCATTTAGACTCTTGTACTCTTAGCCCTTATTACAGCTCAAAGGGTGTGAGTCAGTGTGTGTGCAGGAGGGAGAGAGAGAGCACGTGCACTCCTGTCCTGTTACACTCTGCCCCCCCCCCCACTTATTTTTACATTGATTACAAACAAATATAAAGCAGAGCTTGTTTAAATTTCAGAATAAAAATAAACAGTAACAGAAAAAAGAAAAGTGATTTAATGGAAAGAAGCAAAGACCAGTGAGTACCTATACTTAAGAGGGAAAACTGTGGCCTGCTATATAGTATAGGCTTATAGATGGGTTAGCATTAAGAATTTGAAATTCTCCTGGTTCTGCTTCCACATATCTCCTGTGGGGCCCAGTATAAACCTTCCCTAATGCTTTAACTCAGTTTTCTCACCTGTAAAATGGGCGTGGCTACCTTGACGTCATGGAGATGTTTAAAGTCCTATGAATCAGTTCTAAGGTGTCGAGTGTTTATAAAATGATACATCATCATGGCCCATCACTGAATTGTTCTTTTATTTAGTATTACATCTTTCTATGTATATAACATTCATATTTAAGGAAATCAGTGAGATTGGATTTTAGCACACACAGCATCTGTCTAATTTCTGCTGGCTTTGCAGACTGCCCTGCACAGAATGTCCTCGCTCTTCCTCGGTGTTTGGGCAACTTGAGACTCTATGTAGGCCTCAGCGATCTCAGGGTTTTGCCTCTACAGTAGCCTCTCCCCACTCACATGTGAACTGTCTTACACTTCTTTCTGTGCTCCAGAGACGTGGCTATAGATTGCCTACTTCTTCATGTATATGGATTCTCTCTGGGCTCAGTCCATTTGGATAATGAGGTAGCAATACGCATTTTCTTTTCTGAGTACTAGCTTTTAGCCATTTATCTTGATGGAAGAGAGATTTCCTAATTGGCTCATAACTCTTCTTTTCTTTAACTAACAGGCCATCTTCCCATTTACCCAGACTCCTTTAACAGCGTGTGCCTGGCCTGGAACTACAGAGACGCCCTGGCAGTCATGTGGTCTCACCAGTGCGTGGTGGGTTTCTTTGCTGGTCACACTCATGATGGTGGCTACTCTCAGGATCCTTTTGGTGTGCACCATGTCAACCTAGAAGGAGTTATTGAAACAGCTCCAGACAGCCAAGCTTTTGGCACAGTTCATGTCTATCCTGACAAAATGATTTTGAAAGGGAGAGGCAGAGTTCCAGACAGAATTATGAATTTCAAGAAGGAAGCATCTTTCCACTTTTAGTCTGATTTGATTTGTTTACCTTGGTAGAAAGAGAATGACTTAGCTTTGTGTTTGTCTCCCCAAACAAAGAGAAAAACAAAAATAAAAGTCCTCAACCTCATTGTTTAGTATTCTGCTTGCATGACAAAATGTATTTATGACTTCAGTGTGCATTGGTTGAATTGTCATTTTTGGGTAACATATTCAGTTCTGAAAGTCAGAAGCAAAATAAACTAGGAGAAGCACTGAGATAGAGGCATATAGTCCTCCTAAGGGATTTTATTTGGCCCTACCTGAAATTTTTTACTTTTTACAAGGAGAAAGTATTCATGTGTTGTTAACTATGTTACTTAAAATTCATGATTTAAAAAAACTCAGGTAAACTTTTTCTGTTCATGCTGCTGTGTGAATGAGCTTTGGACAGTTTTTGCTAAGAATACCGGTACTTCGACTTTTATAGGCTGGTATTCCCATTTTGTAAACAAAAACCATCAGTAGTTATTTCACAGGTATGTGTGCGGCATTCACACCTCCATAAGGGCTTCTGAGAAGTCACTGGATCCTCTTGTAATTCTAACCAAACCAGGGCCCAGTGCAGTGCAGCTGTGTGTCTGCTAGCTTGGGATGTTTGCACCATCAGCTGGTGCTGCATGAGATTACAGTGGGTAAACAAATTTACCCTCGACTCCCTTTACAGACAGATGGAACATGTGTAACTTAGTTTCATATATGCTAAGGCTTATTTGCAGATACACTTAGTACATGGCAAATGGGAACTGTTAAGTGTAGAGAAAGTTTGATTCAGGGTCTAAAAACAGTAAGAGAAATATTAGTCAAAGTAGGTGTGCCTTTTGAATATGTAGGCACTATGGTGATATATAAGGGTGTATTCATTTTCTATGGTTGCTATAACAAATTACCACACACTTGATGGCTTAAAACAACACATTTGTTCTCTGACAGTTCTGGAGGTCAGAAGTCTGAAATACTTTTCACTGGGCTGAAACCACGGTTTTGGCAGGGCCACGCTCCCTCAGGAGGCTCTAGGAGGAATCCTTTTCCTTGCCTTTTCCAGCCTCTGGAGCTGTACCTTTAGTATTCCTTGGCTCATGGCTCCTTCCTCCGTCTTCAGAGTCAGCAGTGTAGCCTCTTTACATTGCTCTGCTTTGTTGTCACATCATCTTCTCTTGTCTGTGCAGTCAGATCTCCCTCTGCCTCCCTCTTGTAAAGATACTTTTCATTACCTTTAGGGCCTACCTGGATAATCTAGGTAATCTCCATTTCAGGATCCTTAATTACATCAGCAAAGTCCATTTTGCAATTTAAGGTAACAGGTTTCCAGGGATTAGGACCTGGGTATCTTTGAGGACCACAGAGGTGGTCCAGCCGACCACAGAGGTGACTGTAATGTGCTCTTGCATTCACAGACCTTAACCATGAGTGAGAGACATACTACAGAAAAAGGACTGTGGAACATGGAAGAGGAATTTAATTGTGTTTTAAGGGATTAGGGGTGACATGAAAAATGGCTTGAATAAGTGGGGAAGGGTATTTCAAGTAGATAGAATAGCATAAGCAATAGCATCAGAGGATGTGCTTAATTTAAGAGTGGCAAGTAATGAAATGAGGACTCACCAAAGTGCTCGGGTGTGGCAAGAAACAAGGTACAAAAGGACAGGCCAGGGCTGTGTTGTGAAGAGCCTTGAATGATGAGCCAAGAATCAGAATGTAACGGCACATAGTGAAGAAACCTGAGGTTTCTGAGCTGGGGAAGATGTGATTCGATTCGTGTGTCAGCCTAGGCAGCAGATGACGAGAGGCTGACGTAGAAGAGGGACAGTGGTAGGAAAAAAACTGTAGGCGCAGGGAAGACAGACTTTGATAATAGATATCTTAAACTTATAATACTTCAATTCATTTGAAAAATAGAGCTTAAAACAATTCCATTAATAAAGACTTCAAAAGGCAGCACTCCACCAAAAGTGCCTTTTATATATGCTTAACTCGAGATGCAAAAGGGACTATGAGTATTCATGGAATTTAGTCTGACATGGGAGATGCTGATTAAATGAAAGTGTACCTTGAACATACTGTCTTTTAGATACAGAAGCAAGCATGACTTGGAGGATGGGTAGAGCCTACATAGAACTATACAGAACTATACGTGTGTGTGTGTGTGTGTGTGTGTGTTAGAGAGAGAGAGAGAGAGAGAGAGAACTATATAGAGCTGGCAAATGTGTGTGACTTTAATAGTTAATACTAAAGGAGGTATAAAAGCCATAAATACTATGTAAGCTAAATGTAGAATGGAAAACTCAAATCCTTTACATGCATTTTATTAATCCTTAAATTTCATTATAACTGCTTTAATATCAACTATATTTTTTTCCCTTTTCTCTCATCCAATCTTGATAGTTTCTCGAAAACAAAAAAATTCATGCATACCTTCTTTAACATAGATATTCAACACAGGTATTTATAGACTATTTACAGGCTATAAAAATAGAAACAAGCTACCAGATTAATTTTCATTCTCCTGACATGTGACAGGTATTAATACTTTTGAGTAAAGTATATCCTAAATTTCGTGAAACAATACGAGGGGTCTTCAAGAAGTTCATGGAAAGATTTGTAATATCTTTTAATTCCATTTTTTCATAAACTTTTTGAAGTACCCTCGTATCTGACTATAGTTTTGTGCTAACATATGTAAAAAAGTTTCCATCCAGATGTCTGAAACAGCATTGGACAACAGAAATTCAATGTGAGCCACATAAATAATTTAAACTATTCTAGCAGTCATGTTTTAGAAAGTCAACAGAAACAGATAAAATTAATCTTAATAGTATGTTTTATTTTAACTCAGTATATCTAAAATATTATCATTTCAACATGTAATCAATATAAAATATTTTACATTCTTTCTTTTTATACCACGTCATGTCTTTAAAATATAGTGTGTACTTTATCCTTACAGCCCACTCACTTGGACACTAAATTTTCATTAGAAATACTTGATCTGTATTTTGATATCCTAAAATTTGCAGTTGAAAAAGTAGATTCATATACCTAAGTTGTTCCAAACATACTTAAAAGTTTTCTAATAATTGAATACCAATTATTAAATGAAAATGAAGAAAATTAAAAATTTACTTTCTCTGTCACGCTTGCCACATTTCAAGTACAGTAGCAATAGTGGAATGCAGCTCTAAAATGCTCTCCTCTCTAGGATGATTTTGGACATTCATTCAAAAAGACTGCACAAGGACTTTAGCCTTTATTTCTCATTTAGAATGTAATTAATACTATTTCCTTCTTGATAGATCCCAAATTCCTTTATTCTACCCAACCTCCCTTTCCTTTCAATACGTGCCTGTTCATTGGGTTCATCTAGAGTCCTCATTTAGTTCATGGTACTGTGCCAGTTCAGTGTAGTGAGGTTAGTTCAGGGCTAGCACCCTCTCTTGAACCTCTATTTCAATATGTTACCCAAACCCTGCTCCCCTCTATGTTAATCATGTGCAGCCCTTTGTGATCCTTGCAAGCACTTCATATTTTCAGGGTACTCTCATATTTTCTAGTTTGATCCTTACAACCGTATAAGTAAGTACGACATCTGTGATTAGTCCTACTTTATACATAAGGAAATATCCACCAGGCAGTTTATTTGCCCAAGTTACATAGAGATGAAGCTGAACTAGAACTCATATTTCTTAGCTTTTGTTCAAGTGCCTTTTCTACTGCATCGTGACACAATACCCTTCAGAAAAGGCTTCCAGAGAATGTCAGACCCTGTCTCTTACTAGTCCCATCCAATCTTACACTGTACTGTAGGCAGCTTTAAAACGTTATTTAGGACTTAATCTGTAGTGTTAGCTCAAGTTACCTGAAATAAACTCCTGGGAAACTAGCTTGTTACCCCAATGTTTATAAAAGACTGATTGAAAATATTCATTATAAAAACAGGATTATTGATTTCATTTAAATTACTGTCTTGCAGTGAGTTGGCCAGGAGGACCGCATTTCCTTGTTTATGTATATGTAGACCCACGAGATAAATGGGAAAAGAGTGATAACAATGGCAATAGCCAATTGAATTCTTCCACCAACTGGATTCCTATAAAGACACAAAAAATTATCATAAATAAAAATCCAATAAAAATTATGGATTGCTTTAGAAACAAATATAAAGATTGAATTAAACACATCTTTACATTTTGGTATTCTCTTTTCTCAATTGCTTTTTTGAAATAACTCACTCATTGATTTGTAGGAATTCTTTATATATTAATACAAATCCTTGTTGTTTATATATGTTGCAAACATCTTGTCCCAATCAGTGGTATCTTTTGAGGAACAGAAGTCAATGTTAAAGTTGATCTTTTCCTAACAAGTTTTGTGTTCTGTTTAAGAAAAGTTTCCCTTCCCAAGATCCTGAATATCTTGTTATCTTTTGCGGAAGTTTTATTGTTTTGCTTTTTTCACATTATATCTGTAATCCACCTGGAATTGATTTTTATAAAATTTGTGAGGTAGGAGTTGTTTCACTTTTTTTCCATATGGATATTCAGTTGATCCAGTTGAACAGTGACTAGCCCAAATTCCTTTATTCTACCCAACCTCCCTTTCCTTCCAATATGTGCCTGTTCATTGGGTTCATCTAGAGTCCTCATTTAGTTCATGGTACTGTGCCAGTTCAGTGTAGTGAGGTTAGTTCAGGGCTAGCACCCTCTCTTGAACCTCTATTTCAATATGTTACCCAAACCCTGCTTCCCTCTATGTTAATCATGCGTAGTCCTTTGTGATCCTTGCAAGCACTTCATATTTTCAGGGTACTCTCATATTTTCTAGTTTGATCCTTACAACCGTATAAGTAAGTACGACATCTGTGATTAGTCCTACTTTATACATAAGGAAATATCCACCAGGCAGTTTATTTGCCCAAGTTACATAGAGATGAAGCTGAACTAGAACTCATATTTCTTAGCTTTTGTTCAAGTGCCTTTTCTACTGCATCGTGACACAATACCCTTCAGAAAAGGCTTCCAGAGAATGTCAGACCCTGTCTCTTACTAGTCCCATCCAATCTTACACTGTACTGTAGGCAGCTTTAAAACGTTATTTAGGACTTAATCTGTAGTGTTAGCTCAAGTTACCTGAAATAAACTCCTGGGAAACTAGCTTGTTACCCCAATGTTTATAAAAGACTGATTGAAAATATTCATTATAAAAACAGGATTATTGATTTCATTTAAATTACTGTCTTGCAGTGAGTTGGCCAGGAGGACCGCATTTCCTTGTTTATGTATATGTAGACCCACGAGATAAATGGGAAAAGAGTGATAACAATGGCAATAGCCAATTGAATTCTTCCACCAACTGGATTCCTATAAAGACACAAAAAATTATCATAAATAAAAATCCAATAAAAATTATGGATTGCTTTAGAAACAAATATAAAGATTGAATTAAACACATCTTTACATTTTGGTATTCTCTTTTCTCAATTGCTTTTTTGAAATAACTCACTCATTGATTTGTAGGAATTCTTTATATATTAATACAAATCCTTGTTGTTTATATATGTTGCAAACATCTTGTCCCAATCAGTGGTATCTTTTGAGGAACAGAAGTCAATGTTAAAGTTGATCTTTTCCTAACAAGTTTTGTGTTCTGTTTAAGAAAAGTTTCCCTTCCCAAGATCCTGAATATCTTGTTATCTTTTGCGGAAGTTTTATTGTTTTGCTTTTTTCACATTATATCTGTAATCCACCTGGAATTGATTTTTATAAAATTTGTGAGGTAGGAGTTGTTTCACTTTTTTTCCATATGGATATTCAGTTGATCCAGTTGAACAGTGACTAGTGAAGAGGTAGTCTTTTTCACTGTTTATTGAAAAGACTACTTTTCTTTGCTACCCTACAGTCCCACCTTTGTCATAAGTCAAAGGTCTACATATGTATGGACCTGTTTCTAGATTCTGCTGTGTTTCATTAGTATATTTATTCATCTTATTGCCAATATAGATTTATTCCTCCAATTATTTAGGTCTTTAATTTCTTCCACAATGTTTTATAGTTTTACATGTAGAGATTTTGCATATCTATGCTAGATTTATTCCTAGGAAGTTGATTTTTTTGATGTTACTATAATGGTAATTTTTTATCACTTTCTGTTACTTGCTGATGGAAATGCAGTTGATTTTTGTATACTGACCTAGTGTCCAGCAGTCATGCTAAGCTCATTTATTAATTCCAGTAATTTTTTAGATTCTTTTTGATTTTCTAGATATGCAATCATGTGACCTGCAAATAATGAAAATTTCATTTCCTCCTTTCCAATCCTTGGGCCTTTTATTTCTTTTTCTTGCCATATTGTAGTGGCTAGGATGGTAGCTAGAACAGCACTGAGTACAAGAGGCAGTAGTGGCTAACCTCATCTTGTTCTTGGTCTCAGAGGGAAAGTTTTCAGTTGTTCATCATTAAGTATCATCCTTTGGTGTAGATACCCCTTGTCAGCTTAAGTTCCCTTCTACACCCATTTTCTAAGGTCTTTTATCATGAATGGTTGTTGAATTTTATCAAATGTTCTTTCTGTATAGATTGAGAAGATAGTTTATTTTCTTCTTTTATTCTCTTAATGTAGTGGAAAACATTGGTCGGCTTTCAAGTATTAGACTGACTTTGTATTCCTAGAATAAACTCAACTTGTTGGTTGGGTTATATATTGAAGGATTTGATTTCCTAATGTTTTATTTAGTAGGATTTTTCCATCTGTGGTCATGAGTGAGATTGCTGTGTAATTTCCCTTTTTTATAATGTTCTTGTCAAGTTTTGGTATCAAGGTTGTTCTGCCTTCATATAGCGATTTGAAAAGTGTTTCCTCTTTTTCTGTTCTCTGCAAGTGTTTGTTGAAATTTGGCATTATTTCATCCTTTAATGTTAAGTAGACTTCTCCAGTTACGCCATCTAAGTCTAGAGTTTTCCTTTAAGAAAAATTTAAAGTATAAATTCAATTTCCTTAATAATTGTGGGATTATTCTGAATGTTTCTTCTTGTGTAAGTTTTGGTAAATTGTATTGTTCAGGTGATTTGTCCATTTAATCTATATTTTCAAGTTTATTGGCATGAAATTATTTATAATATCCTCTTACAATTGTTTTGTTTGTTTGGCAGCTGGCTGGTACAGGGATCTTGACTTTTGTGTTATATTTTTAAAATATCTATTAGATATGTAGTGGTGTTCTCTTTTATTCCTGATATTTGTTATTTGTGTCTCCTCCTGCTTGCTTTTGCTTTTATTTTTTTCCTTTTTAGTCTTGCCAGGGCCTATCAATGCTATAAATTATTTTAGAGAATCAATATTTGGCTTTGTTAATTATTTTTCATGTCGATTTTTCATTTCATTGGTTTTTGCTTTAATGTTTATTTTCTTCTTGTTTCTTTGGATTTAACTTGCTGTTCTTTTCTTCTTGAACCAGAGAATTCCTAACTTCTTGGAAGCTTAGCTCATTGATTTTCAGCCATTCTTGTTTTTTTGTTTTGTTTTGTTTTTTCAAATATATGTACTTAAGGCTATAAATTTCCTTTGAAGCATAATTTTTGGCTGCATCCCACAAATTTTGATATGTAGTATTCTCCTTATTCTGTTCAAACTATTTTCTAATATCCATTATGATTTCTTCTTTAACCCAAATGTTACTTGGACATTGTATTTCCTAACTTCCACATATACAGTGGTTGCCTAATTATCTTTTCGTTAATGATTTCTAGCTTAATTGCACTGTGGCCAAAGAACATAATTTAGGATTTTAGTATTTTGAAATTTTGGGGGACTTCTTTCATGGCCTAACATATAGTCATTTTGTAAATATTCAATGGATATGTGAAATAAATGTGGATTCTGCCATTCTTGGTTCAGATGTTCTGTATACAGGTTATGTCCATTAGGTCAAGTTTCTTAATGTGCAGTTAAAATCTTCTGTATCTTCACTGATTTTTTTTTTTGTCTGCTCGCTCTATGAGTAACTGAGAGAAGTGTCAATTTTTGAAAAAATCTATTTTGAAGCTATGTTAATAGGTACATACAAATTTAGAATTGTTATATCTTCTTGACAAACTGAACCTTTTATCATTATCATCTTTCTTTGACTTCTTAAATCTGCTTTTTAATAAATGGTGTTGAGATAACTGGGTAGCCATATACAAAAGGATAACATTGGACCTATTCTTCATACTGTTACACTGGGATGCATTCTAAATAGATAAAAAAAAATTTTTTTTTTTTCTTTTTTGTCTTTTTCCGTGTCCGGCAACGGATCGCAACCCTCAGTGTCGCCCCCGTACCGGACCGGGACCGGCAACGGGATCGCAGCCCTCGGTGTTGCTCCCGCACCTCGCTCAGCCAGTGAGCGGGAACCGGTCTGTATGTGGGATCTGAACCCTCGGCGGGAGCGCTGCTGCGCTTCCCAAGCGGAGCACTGTAGCAGTGCGCCACCGGGCCGGCCCCGAAATAGATAAAAAATTTTAATGTAGAAATGAAACCATACATGTATTAGAAGAAAACTTAGGTAAGTTACTTTACAATTTGAGAGGGAGGAAAGTTTTCCTGACTATGACTCCAAATACGGAAGCAATACGGAGAAGTATTGATAAACATGGTTACATTTAAAAAACACTACACAAAAAACTTTTTCTTTTTCTTTTTTTTCCTTTTTGTCTTTTTTCGTGACCGGCAACGGATCGCAACCCTCAGTGTCGCGCCCGTACTGGACCAGGACCGGCCACGGGATCGCAACCCTCGGTGTTGCTCCCGCACCTCGCTCAGCCAGTGAGCGGGAACCGGTCTGTATGTGGGATCTGAACCCTCGGCGGGAGCGCCGCTGCGCTTCCCAAGCGGAGCACTGTAGCAGTGCGCCACCGGGCCGGCCCCGAAATAGATAAAAAATTTTAATGTAGAAATGAAACCATACATGTATTAGAAGAAAACTTAGGTAAGTTACTTTACAATTTGAGAGGGAGGAAAGTTTTCCTGACTATGACTCCAAATACGGAAGCAAATCCAGTGTGCCGCCGGGCCGGCGACAAAAAACTTTTTCATAGCAGAGTGTATTTTGCATAAACAAAGTAAAAGGATGATAACAAACCGCAAAGAACAATTTCCAGCATATATCACAAAGAGTTAATAGCCCTAGTATATAAGGAGCTTCTAAAAATAGAGAAGACCAACAACCTTAGAATCTGTTTAAATCCAGCTCTCTCAGAGATGAACCAACATTTTATAAAAACAATGCAATTGCTCTTAGTCATATAAAAATGTGCTCACCATTGCTCTTAATGAAAGAAATACAAGTTAAAACTACGCTTTCTCAACTATCCAATTAGTAAAAATTCAAAACGTTGACAGAATACTCCATTGGCAAGACTGTGGGGAAACAGGCTCTCTTATCCATTGCTGGTGGGGATACAAAATGGAACAACCCATATGGAGGGGAATTTGGGAATATATCAAAATATTAACTATGCAATTACACTTTGACCCAGGAATCCACTTCCAGGAATTTATCCAAAAGACACATTGGTAAAAACATATTAGATAGATGCATAAGGCTACTAATTGTAGCACTATTTTTAATAGCAAAAAACTGGATACAACCTAAATAGTAGAGAACTGTAGAGAAGTGGTTGAATAAGATATGGGGCTGTCAGTTGAATAAGAAAAGTCTGTTTACTATAGAATGATCCCCAGGATGAAGTAAGAGAAAAACAAGTAGAATGCAATTGTTGATAAAACTCTATCACTTACCCAAGAGAAGCAGGAAGACAAATAAATGCACATATTTGCTCCATTCATAAAACCATGGAAAGAGAGGCAAGAGAGCATGCCCAGGGTCCTAGCAAGGAGTGGAGGGCAGTCCCCTCCACCTGGAAGCAGGTAAGAGAACACACACAGGGTCCTAGGCAGGAACCAAGAGCAGCGCCCTTTGCCCAGAAACAGAGAAGAGCACAGAGCAGAAAACACCATTAATGCGTGGTGGCCCACCACAGCTACCACCACCGCCATGGCTACAGCAAAAGTGGCTCGATGCAACAGTAGTAGCCACAGGAGCCATGCAGGTGGCCCAGCAGCTACTCAACTGCATTGACAAAAGGAGAGTCACCATCAGAGACTGGAAAAAGATGAGGATGTTTTTCTCCTCAAAGCCCACTCCAGAGTAATAGAAGAAGCAACTGCTGTACCAGATGACCAGACACCAACACAGAGAAACTAGAAGTACAAAAACCCAAGAAAATATGGCACCACCAAAATAATATAGTAATTCTCAAATACCAGACCCTATAGAACAGGAAAACCTTGAATTTGAGCAACAATCTTGAGGAAACTCACT